TGTTTGTATCCAATAATAGTCGAAACTTCTAAACCAATCGGGCCCAAATTTTTTGTGGGACCTGGCATGACCCCAGGGAAGGATTATTTATTGATGATCGAATTTTAAAAATTTGCCTCTTCCAAAATTCGATTTTTGAAAATTTTGAAATTCCACGAAAATTCTTTTTAAAAAATCCGCGAAATATTTTTTGTACTATTGTTGCTAAGAAACTTTGCATAGATTTTTGCACATATGTCTTTATAGAGAATTTGTTCATGTCAGTTTTCCTTGAATACAAATTTAGTTTTTCAAAATATTGCAAATTTTATGCATTGAATGCACTGTGGAAAGGCTTTTCAAAAAAGCAATTGTGCAGTGTAAACAGATAAATTTCACTAAACAAGTAAGTTAAAAAGTTACCTACAGTAAATCCCAGATATATGAATACTTAGTTTAACATAGCCCTAAAATATGAATTCAATTGATATATTAATATTAATCTCATTTTTCCGCGGCATTTGATCTTAAATATGTAATACAACATTATAAAAAACTCTGGCTATGTATTCATATATCTGGGATTCACTGTAGTGAAACTATGTGCTTAGTAACAACATCAAGTACATTTAATTATTGCTGAAATACTGTCGACCTGATCCACAGTTTAATGATTCACTTTATCACGTTTAACAAAACTAGTCGTCTTTACTGACTTAAAAATGACGATATTATTTAAAAACTGATTAGATTTTTTTATTCTATTTTGAAATAAATATACAAGTAAACATATATACATTTTTACTACATTTTACAAAATTTGAACGTCGAAATATTTGTACGCAATTCACCTTTCTTAACAGATCTCAAATTTACTTTTTCTCTCTACTTTTTAATGCCAAAATGTGTGCACTGTGCAGGTATAGCTTTTAATCTTTATCATAAATTATGAAGATACGTGTTTTTAGATCCATATGAATAAATGGTTTAAAATGGCATAATTTATTGTTACAAAAACCGACAGTAAAAATTTGGTAACTTGAATTTCAGACCTTTATTTTTCCTGGATGGGGATGAATTTATCGAACTCATATCCGTACAAGCTTGAATACCATAAAACTACAATCTTTGGATAAAATTATTTTCTCCTGTATTGTTGTACACTGTACATTTTACACTGTACAAAATCGTCCAACCTGACGAATTCTGACACGTTTTAAAATAAATGCTATTTTTTTAAAAATTAATATCATCTAATTTTCACTGGGAATGTTTTAGTATTTGTAGTGAAAATCCCGTTCAACTCCGACAGCCTAAAAAAAAAAAATTTTTAATAAAACAAAAAAAAACATTTTCATCAAGAAAAACAATTTGCTAAATATGGAAATTCAAGAACAATTTATTAGCTGTCATTAAAATGTATGTTAATTTTTTAAAGGACTTTGTTTACACAATCATGTCGATCAACTTTAACTTTCATATTGTTGACAATTGACCTGCATTGACATTTGAATTTGACAATTGACCTTGACAGTTGACCCCTTGACTGTTGGCCTTGACAGTTGGCCTTGATTGTTTGCCTTGACAGTTTGTCTTGACAGTTTGCCTTGACCGTTTGTCTTGACAGTTTGCCTTGATAGTTCGCCTTGACAGTTGACTTTGATAGTTGACTTTGACAGTAGGCCTTGACTGTTGCCCTTGACAGTGTTGATTTTGACAGTTGACTTTGACAGTTGGCCTTGACAGTTGGCCTTGACAGTTGGCCTTGAAAGTTGGCCTTGACAGTTGGCCTTGACAGTTGGCCTTGACAGTTGGCCTTGACAGTTGGCCTTGACAGTTGGCCTTGACAGTTGGCCTTGACAGTTGGCCTTGACAGTTGGCCTTGACAGTTGGCCTTGACAGTTGGCCTTGACAGTTGGCCTTGACAGTTGGCCTTGACAGTTGGCCTTGACAGTTGGCCTTGACAGTTGGCCTTGACAGTTGGCCTTGACAGTTGGCCTTGACAGTTGGCCTTGACAGTTGGCCTTGACAGTTNTACTTATGTACTTTGCTTGTATGTCTGTTTGTCTGTTACCGACAAACGTCAAAACGGCAGAACTGATCGGGCCCAAATTTTGTGTGGGACCTCACATGACCCCAGGGAAGTTTAATTGACCACCAAAATTGGAAGAAAATCCTGGAAAATAGTTGGATTTTTTTTAATGCGTCAATTCGAAAAGAAAAGCAAAACAAAATTTGCAAATGATTTAAAATGGCCTACTTTCAGAGCAACAGTTAAAAGCCAAAATTATTTACAGTAAAAGGGGCGCGCGCGCGAAACGCCTTAAATGCCTAGAAATTCAATATTTATTGACCTTGTCTTTGTAAGAGTTGATGTTGGTTGGATAGGTTTCACAATTTTCGTCGACTGGCCGGTAAACCCCGGGGGGTAGATCAGGTTCCAGTATACAACAAGCTGCTGGGACCTAACAGATTAAATAGATTAAACCCCGGGGGGTAGATCAGGTTCCAGTATACAACAAGCTGCTGGGACCTAACAGATTAAATAGATTAAACCCCAGGGGGGTAGATCAGGTTCCAATATACAACTAGCTGCTGGGACCTAACAGATTAAATAGATTAAATAGATTAAACCCCGGGGGGTAGATCAGGTTCCAGTATACAACAAGCTGCTGGGACCTAACAGATTAAAAATAGATTAAACCTAATATCGAGGCACACTTCATTTACACAATTGTATGCCCACTGAGCGGTACTCTAAAATTATTTTAGCATGTTATACTCTGTTAAACTAAAAGGGTCTATAGTAATGTGTAACTATTATCTCTTGTAATGTGTAACTATTATCTCTTGTAATGTGTAACTATAGTAATGTGTAACTATTATCTCTTGTTATGTGTAACTATTATCTCTAGTAATTATCGAACTCAATTAGTACTGAAAATCTAACACAAAAAATACAGCACAATACAATACTATTTTTTTTAAATGTATACAATACAAAGTATACAGTACACAGTACAAAGAACAATAAAATACTTACCACACTGTTACTATTTTTTTTCTTTATTTATTTTGATTTATATAGTACACAGTACACTGTAAACTGTACGCAGTACACTCTAAACAGTACACACAGTAGACAGTACACAGTACACAGTAGACAGTACACAGTACACAGTAGACTTTACACAGTACACAGTAGACTGTACAGTGTACACAGTAGACTGTACACAGTACACAGTAGACTGTACACAGGACACAGTAGACTGTACACAGTATAAAGTAGACTGTACACAGTACACAGTACACAGTAGAATGTACAGTGTACACAGTAGACTGTACACAGTTCACAGTAGACTGTACACAGTGCACAGTAGACTGTACACAGTGCACAGTAGACTGTTCACAGTACGCAGTAGACTGTACACAATACACAGTAGACTGTACACAGTACACAGTAGACTGTACACAGTACACAGTAGACTGTTCACAGCAGACTGTTCACACAGTAGACTGTACACAGTACACAGTAGACTGTACACAGTACACAGTAGACTGTAGACTGTTCACAGTAGACTGTACACAGGACACAGTAGACTGTACACAACTCTTCACAATACATGACTTACCACACTGTTGCTATTTTCGTCTCTATTTTGTTTAATAAACTGTTGAGCAGTCTGGAAATCAGACATATTATTCACACCACAGCACTGCATCTAAATATTATTAAACTCAAAATCAAATCATAACAAATCAGAGTTTAAGGTAACCCTCTTTTGATAGAGGGACAACGGTACCCGGCCTTGAAACCTTTATTTGTTATAATTCTGATAATTACTTTTGTACAGAAACAAATTAAACATTAAAAATGGTCAGAACTAGTAACTTTTCATAGCTGGGCACTTTTAAACGGAAGAAATATTTACTGAGCTCTGATCTGGCCAAATCCGAAGTTTTCAACCAATGTGGGTTTATCTCTGTTAAGAAAAGTTAGAAGTAAAACAATTTATTTGTTTAAATACATATAGTTTACCTGGCTCATGACGAGGTCCCAGCTGAGTGTGACCGCGTTCCTGTTGGAGCTGCTGGAGTAGTAGTCGTTGATACTCCTCCTAGACGTAGTAATGTGCTTTCAGTTGGTTAGTTTTTAGGTTGTTTTTTGCCTATATTTTCCTTTAAGTGTCAAAATGTAACATATTGTTAAAGTATGAAATGTTTTCAAAATTCTGTATTATGAACATTTGCCTTATAGTGTTTCAAATTTTGACTCTGGCAGAAGATATATACAAAAAAAACGGCCCAAAAGCGAACGTGTTGTAAGTTTTTAATGAGCGTTTTTCTTTTTTAGAATAATTAACGATTAACAACACAATAGGATTATAGGATTAAAGGAACAGTCCATGTAATTTGTTGAGAATCCACGATTGAAATTAATCAGTTTTACAAATTATAAACATTGATATTTAATTTTCCACAATTTAGCTCATTAAAATTTATAAACCAGTATCTCAGTTTTAAATAATAAGGTATTCATGGAATTTTTCTATTAAAGGAAATGTTAAAATATCACGGATTTTTAAAAGAACCCAGACAGAAATGGAAGATATGGAATTGGTTTTGTACAAAAAAAAATGGCTTAGAACCAGATAGGAATAGTTTAAAACCAAATAAATATTTTAGAACCAGATAGAACTGGTTTAAAACTAAGTAAAATTGGTTTAGAGCCGGTTTTGAACTGGATTAAAATCGGTTTAAAACTGTCTAAAAACCGGTTTCGAACGGGATGAAAACAAGTTTAGAACTAATCTAAAACCGATTTAGAACTGGTTTAAAAGCGGTTTAGAACTGGATTATAACCGGTTTAGTACTGGAATAGAACCGGTTTACCTGAGTATATTCCTTGTATGTTGGTCAGCCTGGGTCTGGTAGGCGGCAGCTAGGGAAACAGCTGTCACCTAGAGCGCACAATAGTGTATTTATAATCAATCAATAAATCAGTCAATCAGTCAATTAATACTCTGGTCACATGAAACAAACGTATAATTAATAATCATATTATTAACTATATTTAATAAAAATGAAAAATTATTAAATTCAAATAATTATATGAGCAAACCTCAGTTACTTAAGCTCCTCTGCGATTTAGTCGTTTTCAGATTGGTTGCGTATTTGCTGAATATGATCTGTTAAAACCTACGATGAATGAAGGATGAATAAATGTGTGAACGAACGATTGGATGAATGGGAATGAAAGAATGAAGATTAGTGAATGACTGAATAATGAATTTCTACAGTAGCCTAGGATTAAATAAATAAATGAATAATGAATACCTTTATAGGTCGACAGTAGCCTAGAAATGAATGAATGAATGAATGAATAAACAAATAAATAAATAATGATATCATTGATAGCTCCAAAGAAGCCTAGGAATTAGTGAGTGAATGAATACATACTAGAATAATGAATGCCTTGAAAGGATGAAAGGATGAATTAATGAATGAATGAATAACGAATACCTTGACAGCTCCACAGTAGCCTAAGGATGAACAAATGAATGAATGAATAAATTAATGAATAATGAATACCTTGATAGCTTCACAATAGCCTAGGAATGAGATGATTGAATAAATTAATGAATAATGAATACATTGATAGCTCCAAAGTAGCCTAGGAATGAATGAATGAATAAATAAATGAATAATGAATACCTTGATAGCTCCAAAGTAGCCTAAGAATGAAAAAAATGAATAAATAAATGAATAATGAATACCTTGATAGAGCCACAGTAGCCTAGAAATGAAAAAAATGAATAAATAAATGAAAAATGAATACCTTGATAGCTCCACAATAGCCTAGGAATGAGATGATAAAGATGAATGCTCCAAGAGCAATAAGAACATAAGCGGCCTGCTCTATAACATCAGGTTCAGAAAACTCCTATACAAATTATTATGACTAAACTAAAAAAGTGCCCGGAGGTCCCTGGAATTTAAAATAAAATTTCGAAATTTTGAAGAAAACTTAGTTTGAAATTTTTGATGTTCCCCCCCCGAAATTGAAAGAAAAAAATCCAAACCCCTGGGCTTCCAAAAAAATTCCGTCCACTTGGTCCAGCCGTTTGGCCAGCTATGGCTACATAAAAATATATATGTATGAGCGAAACGCTTTATTATATAGATAATGGATAAAACGTTGAGTTTAAACTATGATTTAATGAATAAATTAATCATTAAAGCAGGCTCTGTGACCTCCCTCCTACTCCCTTCTTTTTAGCATTTCAGTATTCATATCAAAGTTTAAAATATAATATAGGGCTCATGTTTCATTGCATAATATAAACACTGAATAGACTGATGGGTAACATGTGTGTGAAGAGTAAAAAATATTGTACTGTGTGCATATTGTGTACTGTATACATAGGGATAGCTCGTTACCATTTTTGAAAAATGATCGTTTCGTTTTGAAAACCACTAAGAAAAAAAACGAACAAAGAAATGATCATTTTTTAAAAATATCGTTTTTTGTTTTTCGTTTTTTAGAAAAAAACGATAATTTTTGAAAACGACCCTTCGCTAGCGATCGTTAATGACGATCTTTCATTAACGACCGTTAATGACGACCATTTGTTAACGACTGTTAACGAAAACCCTACGTTAACAATAGTTAACGACCTCTTAAAGAGAATCAGGTTATTTGTTTGTGTTAGTTTGTGGTTTGCAAACAGAAATCAGAAGCTTCCTCATTTCAATATTTCTTGATTAAAGCCAAGTTTTGATTTATTTTATTGCTTCCCAAAAATCCAGTCTGAATGCATTTAATAATTGTCTTAGGTTGCACTAAGACAATTAAAATTGTCGTAAGGTATTTTGGAGTTGTCTGACAGCAATTGGGGTTATCTGAAGGCATTAAAAATAACAGAAGGCTTTCAGGAGTTGCCTTGCAGCATTTTCAGAAAAACATTTTTGATTAATGGCATTTGAACTTTTCCAACAGCACTTAGATGCGTTTGTAAAAATAATAAAGAAACATCTTGGAGTTGCCTGAATGTATTTTGGAGATGTAAAAATATGCATTAAGTTGTCTGTGTTGGGATTTTCGATAATCTTGTAAAATTTCAAAATTTGTGAATAATAAAAAATGAATGCAAAAAAAGTTAACTCTGATGCTCTCTTGAATGGTTAAAAGTAATTCTCCCTAATACCAGATACTCTATGCTCTCTATGAATGGTTTAAAATAATTCTCTCTAATAAAAGTAAACTCTATGTTCTCTATAAATACTTTAAAATAATTATTCATAATACAAGAATACGCTAATATTTTCTCTAAAAATAATTCAAAATAATTCTTCCTAATAAAAGAGAACTCTAATGCTCTCTATGAATAGTTGAATATAATTCGCTCTAATAAAAGAAACGCTATTGTTCTCTCTCTAATCTCTATGGTTGAATATGATTCTCCCCAATCAAAGAGTACTCTATGATTCTCTATAAATATCTGAATATAATTCTGCCTAATATGGTTAGTACTCCAGGATATAGGATCTGTTTTTGGCAGGAATAATAGAGGATATTGTCTTGGGACAATTCAAGTGGAACAAATGCAGGGGAATAGGGAAATAAAAGATCTACTAGCTAACTAGATCCATCCTTTACCGTCTTTAATCTACCATCTACTTACCATCTACCATATACCATAAACTGTGCTATACCCATTACCATCTATCATCTACCGTCTATTGTCTTCAATCTACCATCTACTTACCATCTACCATATACCATAAACTGTG